GTTAAATTTATTTCTAAGTGTTTTATTCTTTTTGATTCTATTATAAATTGAATTGCTTTATTTCATTTTTTTTTGTTTATTGCTACTGGATAGAGTACAGCTGATGTTTGTTTATTGGCTTTTATCTTGCAATCTTGCTTAACTGGATTACTAGTTCTAAGAGTTTTTTAGTGGATTCCTTAGGACTTTTGATACGTAAGACTGGGTCATCTGCAAATTGAGATAGTTTTACTTCTTTCTTTGCAATCTAAATTCATTTTATTTCTTTTTGTACCCTAACTGCACTGGCTAAAACCTCCAGTGTAATGTTGAATTGAAGCAGTTAGAGTGGACATCCTTGTCTTATTCCATTAAAAAAATGATTAGTTAAAAAATTTTTTTCTTTTGTAAAATATATAGGTGGGGGTCTCACTACGTTGTGCAGTCTGGGCTTTAACTCCTGAGCTTAAGTGATCTTCCCTTCAGTCTCCCAAAGTGTGGGATTACAGGAATGAGCCATCGTGCCTGGCCTCTTATCTTGTTCTTGATTTTAGGGGAAAGCATTCAGTTCTTTACCTTCAAGTGTGATCTGGGTTATGATTTTTTAATAGATGCCCTTTATCAGGTTGAGAAGCTTCATTTTTTTTTTTTAGCTTTTTAAAAAATCGATACATAGTAGGTGTACATGTTTTCAGGGTTCATGTGATCATTCCATACATTAATATAATCAGATCAGGGCTGTTGATATACCCATCATCACCTTAAATATTTACCATTTCTCTATTCTAGGAACATTCAAATTATTCCCTGTGAACTATTTTGAAATGTACAGCTTTTTGATGTTAGCTATAGTCACCCTACTGATCTACTAAATAACAATTCTTACTTCTTCCATCTAAGTGTATGTTTGTACCCACTAATCAACCTCTCTTCATCTCTCCTCCCCCTACCCTTCCCAGTCTCTAGTAACCACTAGTCTGCTGTCTATCTTCATGAGATCTAATTTGTTAGCTTCCACATCCGAGTCAGAATATGTGATAT